AGTATATTCTTTTTATAATTATATTATTAATAATTATTTTATAATATTTAAAATAATTCTAGTAAAAAAAATTTGAAAACTATTTAATAATAAATAAAATTATCGATATTATAAATAAATGAAAATAATTTTTAATGCAAAACTTTTCGAGTTTATATATATATATATTTTAATAATAATTCATTCTAATATTTCTTCAAACCGTATTAAACGAAGCAAGAAAATGATCTTATTTCTTTCTCTCTCACTCTTTGAAACTCTCAAATTTCTTGAAAGTAAGATCTTTTAAAAGAAACTTTTCGAAACTTCGAGCTATCGCTTATGAATAATTTAACTCGTCTTTAACTAAAGTTGAAATTAAAATAACAAATGAAAATGTTAATAATAGAGTGCTATACTATCCATCTTATCCATTGATATCAGAAATAAATATATTATTATACAGAAATATAATATATTTCAATAAAATATACATCAAAATAAATATATTATTTATGAGTCGTCTATTTTGAAAGTAGCCTACCTCCATTTATGTTCGAATCGAGATATTAAAGGGTTTTCATTTCAATGCAATGAAAAATATACTAACGAGTTATACAGCTTAAGTGTAACTAAAGGTGTTCAATTTACAGTTCCTATTAAATTAGTTTTAATTATATGCGTTTTCTAAAAATGTAACTATTACGGTAACTAACTCAATTTTTGGGGGAAAATAAAGGTAGGCCTCTTTTAAAATAAGCGGCCCATATAAATAATCCATAGAAATAAAATTACAAAATAATAAGATAAATCTATCAAATCTATTCAAACAAATATTTTTCAATCATATTTTCACTAATAATTATTCATAATTTATAATTATATAAAAATTGCTGTAAAAGACTAAAATCCCCCCCCCACTAAAAAAAATAATTCAAATATACCAAAGTAATTAATTTCCTATATCCTCTCTACCCTACTCTCTCTCTCTCTCTCTCTCTCTCTCTATCTATCTCTTTTTAACTAAAAGAAACAAATGCATAGTTAAATGAAGTGAACAAAAAGAAAAGAAAAAGAAAAAAAAAAAGAAAAAAGAACAAGATACAGAACGAGCATAAAATAAAAAAAAAAAAGAAAGATAGAGAAATTCGTGTGAAATATGCACCGAATTAGTTTCTCTTCCTTGTGTCTGTCGGCCTCGTTATTTTCCCTTATCTGTAAAAGGGATGAGGTACGGGGAATAATGGTGGTGGTGGTGGTGTTGGTGGAGGTGGTTAGTTACTTTTGGCTTACCAAAAGATTCTACAACTATTTTTCATTTTTATTTCAACCTCTCTCACCCATCTCATCGGTTCCTTTACCACCCACCTCCACTCCCACCCCCACATTCTTATCCTCCTTCTGAAACTTTTTCTTCTTCTTCTTCTTCTTCTTATTTTTTTTTTATTATTATTATTATTTCCCCTGTTTTATTACAATTTGTTCTTTTTTTCATATTTTGTCTTTTAAACCTAGTAATAATAATAATAATAATAATAAACTAAATAATTATCCTTTAAAACAATTCTATGAAATGAATAGATCAATTGAACCAATTGAAATCTTCAATCGCTTATCAAAATATCACTAATAATACTAATAATAATAATAATAACAATAATAATATTGACAACCATAAATTCAATTTGCATTCAATGGATTATTATTTATCATCAATAAACTGTCATTGATTCTACACGAGTCTTGATACAATCTACAAAGCTACGAGAGAATAGAAAAGACAAGGATTAAAGTGTGAGGGAAAATGGGATGAGATGGGATGAGGTAAGGGGAGGGGAGGGCTGTGTTAAGACCATGACTTTCCATATTATGGGTGACGCCATGAAAGAGCAAACGAAAATAGACAGAGAAAGATGAGTTAATGTGTTAGTGTACTCGTATATGAGTGAGACTGATGAAAGTGTGTATATATGTATGTGTTTGTGTGTGTGTGTTTGTGAGAGAGAGAGAGAGAAGATGTAATTTCGATAGTCGCATTGGATGGTGCAGGTCAATCACCGGACCGAGATATTGCTTATCGATTCAGCCCGCTTGATTGACGCCCTGAAAACGCTTTATGCCACTTACGTGTGAATATATGTGTGTATATATGTGTATATATGTGTATATATATATATTTATATATTTGTGGAAGTGTGTATGTATATCTGTGGATTTAAAAAAAATGATAATTCTCTTGTTAGGTCTTAAAATGGGATTGTTTGATTGAAATTATTAACAATTGTGTGTTATATTAAATATAATTTTGTTTTGTTAACAAATGTTAATATTTTTAATGAATAATTATTCTACACAATGTACAATAAATGTATTTGTTAATTTTAATTTATAAATATTAATATATATATATTGTTAGATATAATAATTAATTTTTAATGTATAAAGTTAAAATTATCTCTGTTGGTTTGCAAAATATTATAATTTATTTTTATTTATATATTATATATTTGTTTATATTTATTTTATTATATTTTTGGTATATTTTTATTTATTTTTTTTTTATATATATTTATATTAATTATACATTATTATATATTTATTATTTTTATTTATATAGATTAATATTGGTAAATAATAATTATTATTATTATTATTTTTGTTTATATATATATTGTATATTTTTTTATAATATTTGTAGAATAGTTTAAAATATTGCTTTTGATAATTTATTATAGTTGTTTCTAAAAAAAAAAAACATACCACCAGGAAGTAATCTTAGAAGGAAAGTACTTTGAATCATCATGAAAATGCACCTTTGGCCATACGAATCTACATACACACACCTATATATATATATATATATATATATATATGCATGTAAAACTGTTATCGTGAGTATAACACAAGTATATCTAACTGAGAACAAGCTACAAACTAGAATTTCATGTTAAAGTGTGTTCGAAAATATATATTCGTGTTCAATTCACTCAACTCAACAACAAACCTAACCGAACAGCAATCTAAACGAAAAGTCCAATTTCCGTTACGAGATCTCTTTTATTTGATTGCATTTTTTTTTTTATTTCTATTTTTATTTTACTGCTCAAACATCAACCAAAAACAATACGAAGAAATAGAAGAAGAAGAAGAAGAAGTAAAAGAGGAAAAAAAAACATAACAAACAATAACAAATACAAAAGAAAGAATTAAAACAGTACCCAGATCATTTCATTCGTTCAAATTATGAACAAAATACGTTCGTTTCTTTGTTTTTTTTTTTTGTTAATAAAAATTCTTTTGAAAGTACTATTTTTACAGTACTTATTGTTTTATTAAACAAATTTTTCACAAGACCACTGATAGATATTTGTTGATAATAAAAATCTATATATATATGTATATTGAATTGAATAGTTAGAAACAGGTGTCACCAATTTGTAGAATTTAGATTGATCCGATTAAGAGGAGAGAGAAACTTGTAATTTAACATTTTGAATGTTACCTTAGAAGGTATCACTTAACCCTTCCGTACCAAACCCTTGTACCAAAGCTAGCAAAGATCGAATTGTAATTAATGACTCGGAATTCTACGTTTGAACCTAACTGAGAACACAGATGGTGTCCTAGATATATAATACATTCTATCTAAAGGAACATCTTTGACAATTTAGCACGTGTTAATGTCAAAGATTGATATATATATATATATATATATAATAAATTTATTATTATATTTTCTGAAAGTAATAATGCAATTACTGTAAAACACAATTATCAAGATAAATTATACAAAAATTGAAAAACAAAAGAAAATAATATTATTATAAGTTATTAAAATTATTATATTTAACAAAGTTGATCACGAAAGTAATTTAAATTACATTAATTGAATTCAATTTTATTTATATTAATATGTAAATGCTAACACAACACACACGCACACACACAGTTAGTAAACATCACCCTGTATATATATATTATTAATAATATAATAATCGATTTATTAATATTATTTAGTAAATAATTATGTAATAAAACAAGCTCGGTTAATTATCGCTATTAAATGAGCAACGATCGTGGTATAAAGGGTGTGCCAACCGTAAAAGACAATATTGACCTAACTGCATCGATGAAGTGGTCTGTTTGCGAAAACCATAGGGTGAACCAGTTAAGGGTTGATAATAATAGATAATTGTCTTGTCTCCTTTTCACATATATAATATCAAAAAAAAAAAAAAAAAAAAAAAATAAAGGAAAACCTTTTTCATCAGTTATTTCATAAATATTAAATAATACTCTTATTTACAGTTACTTGAAAATAATACAGTTAAGTGTTCGTGTTCAATGACATATTCATACACACATACAAACCTAAACAAATAAAAAAAAAAAAAAGAGGAAGGAATATTTTTCTACCATCTCTCGTGTTCTATATATTTTATGTGTGTGTGTTTGTGTGTGTAAATATGTTGGTTTTAATGTAAGTGTGTGTGTGTGTGTGTATACAATATCCCAAGAGAAAAGTTATACTCGAATAACGTTGAGAAGATAAATGATTCAAGATAGTCAGACCCTTGCCGTCGATTTCATTGAAAGCCTAGTGAGATACGTGTCTTCTTCAACAGAACGAAAATAGCTTTAGCAAGTTTTCTTTGTATGTGTATATATATATATATATATATCTATATATATATACATATATATGTGTGTTAATATCCATTGGTGGAAAATTCTCATCGATATAAATTTTTTTCTTATTTTTATGATAATCGTTGAAACAATTTAAACCAAAATAATTTATACAATCAAATGAACATCAACAAATAATTGAATTCATCTAATTTTATAGAAAAATATACAAACGAGTTATACAGCTTAAGTGTATCTAAAGGGGTGTTCAATTTACAGTTCCTATTAAATTAGTGCCAATTATATGCGTTTTCTAATCACGAATGGAGTTAGGCCACTGTCCAAATCAACAATTTGATTTGTTATCAATTTTCGAAGAGACTTAACTCCATTCAACATAATTGAAGATGCTTCAAATTGAAAAAAAATAAACAATACTCAATTTATTTGACATATCTTTAAAACACTTCAGAAACATAATTAATGCGATTGAAAACATTGTTTAACTACATAACGTACAAAATTACAAACATAACCTACAAAACAATTTACTACTCATCTACATTTTGTGTGTGTGAAAGGGATTTGAAGGAATCATGATGTTCCTGGTGGTATATATCGTAATAGGTCAATTACGTCCTTGAATTTTGCTGTTGTAATTTGTCTGATATTTTTATACAGTAGTGTCAATACAATATTTTCGAAATTTCTTGGTCTACCCTCGACGTGGTAATAAATTCAGGACTTTCAAATTTTCATTCTCATTCATTGATGTTTTATAGAAAATTTGATACGGTTCATTTCTGACAAAACACATCCAACATATTTTTAACCAATTTATTGATTCTTCATCAGAATTCTTAACTTTTAAAAAGAAAAGCGTCTAAAATAAAAGAAAAAATAATAACAATAATAATTTTAATCGTAATTTATTAAATAAAAGATAAAAAAATAGTGTCAGTATCAAAAGCTTTACTTTTAGCCGGTCACGTAGCTACCCTTCATTCTCATTTCTTCGTCGTATTCTTTATCCAACCCATAAATACGAATTTTCTCGCTCGTCTCGACGACCATCCTCACTCCCACCCACCCTCCACCATCTCCCACCATCCCGTATATACTTCCCCTTACTTTTTTTTTTTCTCTCAACTTCTTTCTCAACGAGCTTAAATTCGTAATACGTTGAGGGATGCCAAGTCTCGACGAAAGAAAGTAAACCAGAAAAAAAAAAAAAACAACTTGTACCTCTTTTTTTCTTTCCATGAAATAGTCTCAACGCGAACAGAGGAAGGGAGGGGGTGAAGAAGGTTAGGGTAAAAAGGAAAGGAAAATGGAAGGGTTTTAATTCCTGTTAAAAGGAACGGCGTACCGTCAGATAAATTGATTTATTTAATTAAGAGTTTTTATTCGCTAGGGAACACAAAAAAAAAATAAAAGAAAGAAAAAAAAGAAGAATTATGTTCTCATAGATGTATTTTGTATTGGACACATTTTTTCTTAATTTTTGATGGAATTGTATTTTCCATTTCTTTTTCTCTTTTTTTTTTTAAATTTCAATACGGTTTTTTAAAACATTGTTTGAATATTTTAAAAATATACACAGTTTTATTTCTTATTATTTTTATATTATATATAAATTAATATTAATATTTGAATTAATTTATAATTTACATATATATATATAATTTAATTTTAATTTATAATATAAAAATACTATATATAATATAATATTTATATTTAAATTAATTTATAATTTACAATTTATTTTTATATTTATAATATAAAAGTACTATATATAAAATAATATTTATAATTAAAGTAATTTATAATTTATTATTTTATATATATAATATTTTTATGGTATTTGCATTTATGTAAAATATATTAAATATTTATCAATATTTTATATTTATTATATATAATATTTTATTCTTATGTGAACAAAGCGTACGATATAGAATTACCTGTATTATATCATGAATAAAAGAATGGTCTGTTATATTACATTATATATATATATATAAGAAGAAGAAGAAGAAGAAGAAAAGTTAAAGTAAAGAATTTGTCACGTTTCAGGTGACCCTTTCCATATCAATCCTCATCAGTCTTCACGTATTCTTCCTCCTGGTCGTTGAAATTATTCCACCAACATCGTTGGTCGTGCCACTGCTTGGGAAGTACCTGATATTCGCCATGATACTCGTATCAATAAGGTAAGTATAACAATACTAACCATACAATCAAATAATTTCATTACAATGTTGATAATTTAAAAAAAGCGAACAGAAATCCATATAAATCCAATATGTATATGTCTATATTTGTGTGCAACTGCATACTACGAAACATAGACTTATAATATCTCAAAAGTGTGACACACACTTAACACCTTGAGCATCACATGAAGTTCTACGAAAATCTCCAGCAGGCCATGCACGTTACTTTGTATTAAAAAATAGTTGAATGTTCATTAGTGACTAACGCGATATAAAATTAACATTCATCGTCAGTCTTTAGTGACTGACCCAGCTTAAATTAAAATTTATCGTCAGTCTTTAGTAACTGACCCAGCTTAAATTAAAATTCATCGTCAGTCATCGATACATGACAATAAAATTCTTTAAATAAGCCGTGTCAGTCATTAATGACTGACATCCAACTATTTTTGTAAAACAAAGTACGTGCGTGGCCAGACGGGAATTTCCGTAAAAATTCAGGGTGCGCTCAATGTGTTAAATAAATTAAATATTTTTATATAAGTATATATAATATTATAATACTTATATAAATATATAATAATAATATTATAATAAATAAACCCTAAAATTATTTTATTTCTGATACGTGTGCATTCATCTCTTTCTTTTAATTCTTAGTTTTTTGAAGGTTAGGTGTGTGATTTGCACACATGGTACTTTTCTTTTTGTTTCTTTCTTTTATCTTTTATCTTTTATCTATTATCATGAAAAGGCACGCAAACCTTTTGCGTGTTTCGAATACTACGTATACTTTGAGAATTCTCGGATTACTCGGAAATACAATGAGTTTAACAATTATCTTACTAACGAGTTTCTAACCGTGATGGTTTCACATTTATGTTCATTTTTTTTCTTTCTTCTTTACTATCATAAGTCTTACTCATGATGGTTCACATTCAAATCCATTTGTTACCATGAAACTTTCTCGTATTGATCTTAAAAATATAATCAATCTTGTCTACTTAAACTGCAAGAAGTTAACAACAAGTACAATAAAAAAAAAAAAAATGGAAAAAAATAGAAAGAAAAAAGGGAGAATAAATCTTGACGAATAAGTTAAAATAAAAAAAAAAGAGCATGATAAAACTGGAAAGTGTATTGTCAGAACAAAGTTGAAAATCTATTCTCTCTCTCTCTCTCTCTCTCTCTCTTTCTCTCTTTCTCTCTCTTTCTCATTCGTCTTGCAATCCAGCTTAAAACGTTGAGGTGCTTTCTGCGTGATAGAAACGATTCCGAATAAAACTAAAAAAAGAAAAAAAAAAGAGAGATAAAAATAGAAAGATATAAAAGATAAGAAAGCTGTTCGTGTTTCTTACACTAGAGAAACGTTTTTACTTTATATAAGTAAAAAAAAAAACCTTACGTATGTACTTTACTTACTTACTTACTTATTTACTTTTTCTTCAAAATATAAGATAAACTTGAATGTTTTATATTTCTCTTAAGATTTTTCATCAAGCAAGATCTCAAATAAATAAAAAACAAATATATATGTATATATATGAGAGTTGAAGATGAATATTATTTTCTTTATACTACATTTAAAATAATATATTGTAGTTTATTTTATATAAAGTATCTACTTTGTTAAATAATATTCAAATATTAAACATTACATATTAATTAAATATTAAATATTAAATACCATACTAAAACAATTATTGTAGTATATATTAAAACAAATATTAATCAAAAGTAATATTAAAATATTAAAAATTAAATAATAATTACAAATATTAAATACTGTATTAAAACAATACAGTATAGTATATATTTTAAATTAATTAATAATCCTGTAAAATAATATTAATATAATAAAAATTACATATTAATTAAATATTAAATACTATATTAAAACAATACAGTATATTATATATTTTAAATTAATTATCAATATTGTAAAATAATAAAAATTTCAAATTAAGTACAAATTAGCTTAATATTTCAAAATTTTTCCTATACAATTTTACATTATATATATTATATAATATACTTTTAAAAAAATAGATAATAAATATTGAAAATATCAAACGATAAGAATAACAATAAAAATGATTGACGATCATCATAGGAATATGAAAAAAAAAAAATATGAAAAAGAAAAAGGAAAGAAAGAAGAGAATGAAAGAACAAAGAACAATTTTGAATGAACCTTGTTGAAACTGACTGAGATAGATAAGGGTAAAATAAAAATGAAAAGGAAAGAGTTAAAGAGAGAAAAAAAGGGACTCTCTCTCTCTCTCTCTCTCTCTCTCTCTCTCTCTCATTGCATCGAATTTGAATTTCATTGCAGTTAGGACGCATTTGGTTTTACAAAGTAAATCCATTGTGTTGGAAATTTTTCTAGTTTCTTATATACATACATATATATATAGGGTGTTTCACAAAATTTCTATTGAAAAAACAAATTCAGGATTTATAATTTTATTATTTAAATCAAAAACAATTATAATTATTATATTATTTTAATGAAATATTGGTAATGCAATAACCTAGCCTTACTTACTGCAATCCAAATGATTATTTAATCATATTTTACTGTATAAATTTCTTCAAAATTAAATAACAACGCTAAATTTATAAAATACAACACTTTATTCTTCAAACTTCATTTTATTTTAACAACAAAACAACATATATTAAATTAAACTAATATATTTTCTATTTTATTTGTGTAAACAATTAGAAATATTCATGAAATTAATCAGAAACTTTGAAATACACCCAGTATTAACATCCTTTTCCTACTTACATCTACTTTTATCACACATACACATACACACACACACATATATATATTCTGAGTTTCCGCCTATTCGATTATCCTCCGCCTAATTCTCCTTGGATTTAACTTCCTTATATACCAAACCACCCTTCACCCATTCCTTTTAACCCTCTTCTCTCTCTCTCTCTCTCTCTCTCTCTCTCACTCACTCACTCAGTCATTCATTCATTCATTCACTCACTCTGATTTTCCTTTCCTATTAACAAACAACAATGTATTACAATGACGTCTGAAAGCGAACCAACTCCTTACAAATGAGTAACAATTATAGTTCGAACTTCGTAAGGAAACAGATGTCACGTACCTTTCACAAACCAGTTGAATTTAACGACCCTTAGATAAACTTCTTGTGATTTTCCTTCATGTTTTGTCATTTTCCATGTTTATTATAATATACAACTACAGTATATTTACATTTTATATTTATTACAATATTTATCAATTATTATCAACAATTTCAATCCTAATTACAACGATTAGGTCATTGAGGTTAAGTTATCATACTCAAGGACTAAGTTAGCATACTTTTCTTTTACCCTCACCCCCTCTTCCTTGCTCTGAGAATCTTTTCCTACTCAACCTTCTCCCTTTCATTCCTGTTCTTCGTTGTCCTAACGAGGTATCGTTTTCTCTTCCCTTTTATCGAAAGACAAGAGTTTCCCTACGAAAGGTCTCCTTGCGTCATCGTGATATTCAAAGGACGAACAAAAGGTTTTTGTCTTCGTATGTGGGTTATCACGGAAAAGGGACTGTTACTATTCGAACATCCTTTATTGTTATATCACTATTAATGTAGGAAGATATATGTTTTCCTATTTTCCTATTTTACTAGGAAACATAGAGAATAATAGATATCGATGCTGATTATTATATCATAATGAAAGAAAAATTTAGGAAGAGAATCAATTTAGATAATGTCATTAAATTACTCAGCTCATGGTTGCTGTCTGGGCGCTTCAAAATCAGGATATATAGGACAATCATCCTACCGGTTGTCCTTTATGGTAGCCAAACGTGGTCACTTACGTTACGGGACGAAAAGAAATCGAGGGTCTTCAAAAATAAAGTTGTTCGTAAAATCATCGGGTGCAAAGTGCGATGAGGAAACGGATGAATGGAGAAAAACCCCATAACGTAGAAGTACACCGACTGTACAACAAACCGGACATTATTATCGTCGTAAAATCACGCCGATTAGGATGGACTGGTCATGTGGCGAGCATGGAGGAGGATCGAACGGTGCATAAAATACTGGTCGGTGTACTGAACGGGAAAAGACCACTGGGTAGATTGAGACATAGATGGGAGGACAATATTATTTCGGGATCTTAAAGAAATGAGCTACGAAGACCGCGAATAGACGGGGTTGTGCTCAGGGACGGGAACATTGGCGGGATTTGGTATTTGTGGCAATGAATTTTCGAGTTACTAATGCCAATTAATAATAATAATAATAATAAATGAATTTACTAATTAATTTAGACACAGCCATTCACCTAAATATTATCTGATTACGTAGTATTAAACGTTTATACAGTGAACGAAGTCATTACGTCTTACCTGTATCACGTTTACAATCAAAATAAGATGTGTTGTATATACGAGTCACCTCTACCCTTCTAATGATAATAAATTTGTAATGAATAATATTAATATAAATTAACAATTATCTTGAATAAATTGAATATAATTGAATATATCATAAAATTAAATATTGTTTTAAAAGATTGACAAGTAATTAGAACAATTATCCTTTAATTAACAAACACAAACATAATAATAAAGTTCTTCATGATCTTTTCAGTCCTTATCAGTTTGTGTGTGTGTGTGTGTGTAATCGTAACGACAAATCGCAAATTCAATAATCACTAATTATACTCAACCCAGTGCTAGGAAGTAACGTCGGAACTAAAGTTAAACACGGGTTTTGACTTATCAGCTTCCAACGAGTTTGTAGATTAGTTTCGTGCTTGCTCAACCTTCAGGCTATTATGAAATACCATCGAATTTGGTTTTCAGTACACGTTTGACATTTTACGTACATTGAATATTAATGAAAAAGCACATCGATCTTTTTATCAACCTAATCCCCTCACCCCCACCCCTACCTCTCACCCCTTATTCACCATATTTCTATTTTTTGTATATTATTTAACAAATGAATTGAAAA